GACAGGCCCAGCTGCACGAGCCAACGGGCGCGAGAGAGCCGGCCCAGCCCCTGCGCGCAGGCCGCGAGTCCCTGCAAGGCATCGAGCTGCATGTCGATGAACGCGGTCCGCCGTGCGGCGAACAGCAGCGTCCTGAAATGGCGTGCCGCCGACGCCCAACGTTGCTCGTCCGCGTCCAGCCGGCCGAGGAGGAAGAGCGTCTGCTGCATCGGCCGCGAGTAGGGGCGCGGCGCGAGCTCGCGCAGCAGGCTCTCGCAGATCTGCCGGGCCCGTGCCGTCTGGCGCTGCCGCGTGAGCGCTGTGGCGATCTCGAGCTGGCAGGTGCAGTTGCGATGGACCCACCCGGGCTCCGACAGGCCGAGCCCCCGCTGTGCCCATTCGAGTGCCTGGGCCGGATCGCCCAGCGCCGAGAAGCTGTAGGCCAGCATGGGACCACAGCCGACGGCCCGGTAGCGCATGCCGCAGTCCTGCAGACGCTCGAAGGCCGGCAGCAGGTGGCGGATGGCCTCGACATGCCGCCCCATCAGCGCCTGGCCGATGCCAGCCACCATGTCGTGATAAGCGCGGACCGGGCCATCGGCGGGCGGCGTGACGGCGGTCAGGATGGCCTGGCTGCCAGCCCGGTCGCGGGGATGGAGCCGCGTCGCGAGCTCCAGCCGGGCGATGTCGGCCATCTCGGTGTCGCCCAACGCATAGAAGCATTCGATGATCTCGCGAAGCAGGGTCTCCAGCTGGGCGGCGTCGCCCCGCGCCCAGACGATGTGGGCGTCGACCCAGTTGCACAAGGCCAGCGCCTGGGCATCGCCCTGTGCGGTGAACGACGCTCGGGCCTGGCCCACGCCGAGCGATGCGGTCTCCAGGTCTTCGTTCAGCGCCGCAGCTTCCGCGTGGGCCAGGGCCTGCCAGGCGGGTGCGGCGGCCGGTTCTCCGCGCTGACAGCACAGCGCAAAGAGGGCGTCGGAACGTTCGGTGTCGACCTGCCGCAGCACCCAGGCCAGCGCCAACTCGGACGTCGGGTCCGCCTGCCGGGCCAAGGCATCGCGTTCCTGGGATGTGATGAACAGCTTCATTCGGATGGCCGGCCGCGGGCTGGCCGCCGCGGCCGCTATCCCCCTTGCCGTTGACGGCCGGCGCAGCGTAGTGAGTCGATCTCCCCGGGGCGAGGGGAGCCTGTTCTTGGGGATGGCCACCTGCATCGCGGGCAATAACGCCCGTGTCGAGAGGAGGGGTGTTTGTCAAATGAGAAGCATTCGCATTAAAGTGCGAGTGTGAACCCGTCGCCCCGTCTTCCTCATTCACCCCCGACCCCGCCCCGCACGCTGGACAGCCAGGCGCTGCTCGGCCCGCGCGGCGAGGTGTGGATCGCCCACCAGGGGCAGCTGTACCGGCTGCGCGTCACGGCGCAGGGCAAGTTGATCCTGACCAAGTAGCGCCGCTCGTTCCGCCCCCGTCCACCGCGCCAGCCCGCCCGCCGCCAGCCCGCGCCATGCCCCGAAGGACCTCGCATGGCCTCCACCTGCTGCGCCGCCCCCGCGAAACCCGCTGCCACCAGCTCCCGCCGACGGCGCCTGTGGGAGCTCGGCAGTCACGCGCACTGCCCCATCATCGGCGTGTGCCTGCCGCTGGAGCGAGTGCGCCAGCTGGCCCGGCGTCATCTGGTGCTGCAGGGCGATGAAGACGACTACACCCTGCACTGCAGCCTGGTGACGGCGGCGGCCCGCCGCAACCTCGTCGCCGAGGCGCTGCACAAGGACCTCGAGCACCGTTTCGCGCTGGAGGTGCGGCGTGCAGCCCAAGCCAAGTGCCGGGACAGCCTGATGAGCTGGTGGCGGACCCGGGCCGCGCAGGCTGAGTTCGCCGGCGCGTTGTGGGCCACGCTCACCCATGCCCGCTGTGACGAGTGGCTGGAGATGCGCGTGCTGGGCCAGGTGCACATGCTGCAGCACCAGGTGGGCGCCGCACAGCGCGTGGACATCGGCCGCCACCGCGAGCTCGGCCACCGAGCACCAGGCGC